TACCTTTACCTGCTGAGCCACTGGCCAGGCCTTTTGTGGTTTTTTTACAACAGGGTCTCAGTGAGCATCCCTGGCACTCACCCTTCCTGCATTAACCTTCCAAGTGCAGGAGTGACAGGCTTGTGCCACCACCTCTGGCTCCCAGAGGCCAGTTCTTGTGGGTATCAGTCCAGAGGCTGGGTGTGTACAGAGATGTCCAAGAGCTTCTGGAGTTAGGGACCGGAAGAACTGTACTGGCCCTGAAGGAATGCGGAGTGAGGAAATACCCGTATTTCAGAAGCCCTCAGACCCCAGCAGAACTGCCTGAAGAATCCTAGCTGAGGATACAAGTCTACAGACCTGAGACAGAACCTCCCTACAGTTCTGTTCCCTGTGACCTTGGGGTAGTAGATTCTCAGGCCTTACCCAGAGTTCACAAGCCAGCAAACCCAGAGGGGACTCAACATACATATTTTTTGTTTGTATGGCTGCCAGGGCCTAAAGGCAGAGTGCCGTGCGTGCTGGCTACTGACCTGCTGCTATAGAGCTTTAGCCTAGCTCCAACGAGCCGTTTCTGTTTCTATTTTACTCTGTTTTTAAATTATGTGTGTATTTGTGTGTCTGTATGTAGATATGTACACATGAGTGTAGGCACCCTTGGGGGCCAAAGGCATTGGATTCCCTGAGGCTAGAGTTACAGGTGGTTGTGAGCCATCATGTGGTTACTGGGAATCAAACACAGGTCCTCTGCAAGAGCAGAGCCATCAGTGAGCCACATTTATTTATTTATTTATTTATGGACAAGGTCTTATGTAGCCTTGGCTGGTCTGGAACTTGCCATATAGGTCAGCGTGGCCTTAAATAGCTCACATCGCAGAGATCTGCTTGCCTCTGCCTGAGTGCTGGGATTATAGGTGAGTGTCAGCACACGGCAACAAGCCATCTAACAGATTCTCCCTGGAGGGCTGTTATTAGATAAAGCAGGCACCGTTCAGTCAGGGTGTAGTGGTGCACACCTGAAGTTCTCACCCTCGGGAGGATAGTGGACAGGATCACATGTTCAAGGCCAGCTTGAGTTATTCATTAAGATCCTGTGCTGCGTGGTGGAGCACAGATTTAATCCCAGCACTAGGGAGGCAGAGGCAGGTAGATCTCTGAGTTCAAAGACAGCCTGGTCTGCAGATAGAGTTCCAGGACTGCCAGGGCAGAAAAACCCTGTGGGCATGGGGGGTGGGTGGGGAGTGGGAGCAGAGAATACTGTCTCAAAAGATGGCAGAGGCAACATTCTGGACCCCCTGGGTCTGTGAGCAGCACCCCACTCTGTCTACACCCCCTTCCAGGTGCGGTTCCCATCCCACTTCAGCTCCGACTTGAAGGACTTGCTACGGAACCTTCTGCAGGTGGACCTCACCAAGCGCTTTGGGAACCTCAAGAACGGGGTCAATGACATCAAGAACCACAAGTGGTTTGCCACGACGGACTGGATTGCCATCTATCAGAGAAAGGTGGGCTTCCGTTTTCCCAGCATGGCCAGAGTGGGGGAAGGGAAGGAGTCGGGGACAGGCTGAACAACAGAAGGCTCCCTGGAGCTGGTAAGGGACCAGACGTGATGCTGGGGTCTTCTGGCCACTTTGTGACCTTGGGCAGGAAGTACTCTCTGGGAAGTGACTTCCGCTTGGTGAGTTGGGTTGTAAAGAAGACATAAAATCCTAATGTTGAGCACAGGCCTGTGTCACAAGTGTCTCCCGAATATTAAGCCGTTCATCTTTATTGTTGTAATGGTGTGAGGTCAGCTAATGAACTCTGGGTGGTTCTTGATCCCTCTCCAGGTGGAAGCTCCCTTCATACCAAAGTTTAAAGGCCCTGGGGACACGAGTAACTTTGACGACTATGAGGAGGAAGAGATCCGGGTCTCCATCAATGAGAAATGTGGCAAGGAGTTTACCGAGTTTTAGGGGTGTGCTTGTGCCCCATGGGTTTTCTTTCATTTTTTTTTTCTTTTTCTTTCTTTCTTTTTTTCTGGTTGGGGGTGGGAGGGTTGGATCGAACAGCCAGAGGGCCCTAGAGTTCCATGCATCTAATTAACACCCACTCCACACCCCCAGGTTAGGGGAGCAGGAAAGCCAGGCACTGGGGAAGGAGCAACATGAGCTGCTCCCCTTCCTGCCACCGACATCTCCTCCCCACACATCTCTGCCTGTTCTCAGTGAATGTCTCAGCTCCAGTCACACCCAGTCTTACTGGTGTAACCGAGGGCAGGGTATGGAAAGAGGGGCCTAGCCTCCACCCCCACCCCAGCACTGGACACTAAGGAGGAACAGAAACGCCAGCCTTCCCTTCCATGCAGTCCTACCTGGAAAGGGAGATTTTAGTGACATGTACAGAGGGCTGCTTGCTAGTGGGTTTTTGGTTTTTTTGGTTTTTTTTTTTTTAATCTTCATTTAAATTAAGTTCCACCAGTGCCTCCCATCCTCCAGACTGTCCCACCCCTCCGAAACCCCCTCGCCACTCCCCAAATCCACTCTGATGAGGTCGGGGTAGCCAACTGACTCTGTCAAGGAAGGAACTGGGCTTTGAACCTCGCCCTGAGCTGCTAGCCTCCCGGCCCCCTTCCCAGGGGTCTCATGCCAATTCTTCCGAGCATTAGCCCCTTCAGAAGCCCCTCCCCATCCTGGGCGCCTCACTTCTAGCTTAGCTGTCAGCTGTGCATCCCCACTCACTGCACCCCAGATCTGATTGTGCTTGTCTCTCAATAGAAAGGTGGGGAGCTGCTGGGGAATCACCCCGATTATCCCTGTGTTGATCCCTCTTGTAACTTCTCCCCAACAGGAGGAGCTCTCAGGCCTGGGTGGGGGCCCCGGGTGGGCGAGGGGGGCCGTTCAACCTGTGTGCTGCGAAGGATGAGACTTCCTCTTGAACAGTGTGCTGTTGTAAACATATTTGAAAACTATTACCAATAAAGTTTTGTTTTAAAATAAAAGTGTCGCTGGTATTCCCGACTTCGATCACACCCTCACACCCTCAGGGTGTTGGAAAGGGAATCTCGGACCTCAGCGTCCAGGCTCCGGAGACCCCGGCTCCGGGACCCTGGAGAAACCGGGTTTAGCTGGAATTCCTGCACTTCCTCCGCCCCGCCAGAGAAAGGAGGGGTGGGGTGGGCAAACTGTCCTTTGACCCTGAGTTCGGGGTCCTCAAATCTGCTCGTACTCCTACTTCGTGTAGTCCGGGACCGAAGGGGCACTGGAGGAAGCCGTCCGGACCGGTGCGGCCAAACTGCAGCGGGATCGGCCGGGTAGAAGGAGAAACCGGGAGCCCCGCGCGCCCCCAAGCCCTCGTCTAGGTGCGGCAGGGCCGCTGGTGAGGTCTCCGCGGCTCCCCTGGAGAGCGACGCGTCGGGCCGCGGCGCGGCTAGTTCCCGGTAAGTGCGGTCCCGAGAGCGCTGCGCGCGGAGAGGCGTGGAGAGGGGGCTGGGCGCCGAGGACGTCTGGGTCCCGCGCCCAATGGCTGGAGGGCGGCCGA